AAATTAATACTCGGCGTTCAACTTTGAACGAAAAATTAGTGATATTTGAAGATTTGCAAAATCTGGAATATCATGGTGAGGAACAATCTAAATTTTACACTCGTGATCATTTTTTTTATTCGATCGTTACGCGAGAATTATTGCGAAATCACGGCTATAACTTCTCTACTCTAATTTATTTGCGGGGATTCGCTTTATGTCTGATTGCGAATCGTATTTTTGCACGACAAGCCAATTCAGTCGGGAAATACGAGCGCGATGCAAATTCCATGCCCTACGCGCAGAAAGGTTTACGAGTGTTCCCGTTGTCTGAGACCGCGATAGCCGATATCACTGTCACTGGGATTTTAGTGGGCTCTCAGTCGTGAAAACATACGTTTGCACTTTACGTTTACGAGTGTGTATACCGTTTCACGATTTATGAGCTGTAGCTGAAAATGATGGACCGTGTTGAAGAGCGCGATGAAGTGACAAATAATTTTTTAGAGCAATGTGATATTACTTTTTAAAATTACATCTGAAAAATCGCTTGAATTAATAAATTTATCTTATAAATTTCCATTCATTCTGGCATATATTTTTTAGCATTATCACTTTCTTTCATTTATAAAATAAGCATATATGCATTAAGATAAACATATATCGCCATATCAAATAAATATCATATATGTAAAGTATTTTTTATTTCCATATTTTAAGTTTTTATTAGTAAACTGTAAAATTTGAAGTTTTTATTAGTAAACTGTAAAATTTGAAGTTTTTATTAGTAAACTGTAAAATTTGAAGTTTTTATTAGTAAACTGTAAAATTTGAAATGCAATATTTTCATTTTATCTAAACTATTTATTGAAGAAGGATCATTACTTTATTACATAATGAGCCAGTTTGTAAAAAGAGAAAAATGACAATAGAAAACTCATAAATTTTGAACATTGTAAAACCTCAAAATAGCTCTTAAATAACCGTTTCGAATTTACCTTTTCTTCTTTTTTTTATACCTTCACGCTATATAAGCATTAGTTTCAAAAAAATGCTAAGACGAAATTTTACTCTAAAATTCATTTAATAGTAGGGTTTTAAGTTATACTTTAAATAATTATATAAATTATTAAAAGTAATTAATGTCATTTTTAAATGAAAAATTCTATTCTCTAAAAATTTAATTTTTGTATTCTTCTTTCTTTTCAATTGATTTTGAATTTTAAAATTAATAAATCAATTTTATTATTACTAATTATATTTTCAAAAAAAGGAACCTCTTAATCAAATTTAAAATCAAAGTTATATGATTACAATTTTAATTTTAGAAATTACTGATTTATTTATAGCAAAATATATATCACCTGACGTTATTTATATTTCGATTTTGTTTTCAATACTTTATGACACATACAAAAATGATATATTATTTATTATAAATTTTTGTTGTCGTGCGTGCGCACGTAATTTTAGTGATTATTTTTTACAACTCGAATGCTATAATATAATATATATTAATAATATATATATTTAAACGGTTTTAAATAATTATGTGTTACGGTGGCATTTATATAAATATATATTAATTATATAAATATAATTAATTCTTTGCACTCATAATAATGTAAACCTTAAATTTATATATATATATATATATATATATATATATATATATATGTAATTCAAACAGATAATCAACATTTTATCATACATATATAATATTTAACGGTAACTGTAAATTCTATATCGACAGATACAGTTTGAATATAACGACAAACTATATATTAGACTGACGCATCACTTTTCTCGCTTCTTTTCCTGGTTTTTTTTTGCTCGTGAATATCTTTGTATGATATCAGGCCGATTATGTTTTTCATAACATGGGGCGATCGGAGCAACATACATATATGGAACGATAAATCTTATTTGTTTCCATGTCGCTGGGCAGCTCCGACACCTTCGAAAGAATGAGTTCATATCTTTGGGAGCAGAATCGAGTCTATATTAGTCCCATCTGCCTTCTTCAAAAGGGCTTCTGCATGAGTGAGCATGCATACTAGGACGAGACTGCGACAGACAAAAAGAAACGGATGGCCAAACGCGTAGATACATCCGGATTATTCGCGGCCAATTGATCACGAATCTGACGGTGTCTGCCATGCCTCTCTTGTTGCCATACATCGGCGAATTTACAAGAGTTTCTTTCAAAGAAAGTATTTTTACCTTTATCATCGCGATCAATAAAATTTTAAAGACATGCTATAGAAAAATTAATTGTGTGCGTTGTATCATGCAAAAATCTCTTCAAATTTTATATAATTATCATTTTATATAATTATAATCTGTAAGTAATCTGTAAATATATATATATATATGAATATATATATATATATATATATATATGTATACATTTGAAAATGGCTATTTAAAATGTGTTTATGTTATTATATATATGATACACATGATATAATATTGTTAAAGCATTTATTTAATATAACATTTTTTGAACATCCAAAAAATTTGATTAAGTTATTACGCTAATATATTTAAATCTTTATCGTTTTACGCATTATTTATAAAGAAAATTAGTAATCAAAGTAATATCAATAATACAATAACGGTCATATTTTAATTTGATTCTCATATTTTATAAGATTTATAAAAGAGAAAAAGATTCGTGATATACTGAAATATAATTGGATTACAAATCTGTACAATATATATTTGAATTTGTACACAATATATATTTGAATATTATCTCGGTGAAATTATAACTGTTAATTGAGGAAACGTGAGAAATGGATGATTTGACACAAAAGATGAATAAAGATCAAAAAGAGAAAAAAAAGAATAATCACAAAGGGACAAAAGCAAAAGAATATCTATTTTAAGAAATAAAAGAGACAAAGTGTGAACGAGAACTAAAAAAAACGAACTAAAGAAAAAAATAAGAGAAGAAAAGAAAGCAATAAATGGTATTCTAAAGTATATATAGTATAATTATATCAGTAATATATTTTTATGAATGGATATCTGGATATCTAATTTGTGACACCTACCTACCATATCTTTCTCAATATTTCATACGTCTCTTGACATTTCATTGCTAGATTTTATTGCAATTTGCTAGATTTCTAATACTCGTCGAAAGATTTTGGAAAAAAACACATCTCTAATATGAAAATTGCTCGACAATTTATATTTAACTGACGTGGATTGATTGTTACGCACATACCATTTGCATAATTAATTTCGCAAAGGCGAAATATAAAACGAGAAAATCCTTTAATTACGAAGTATGAGAAAGAAACAAGAGGCGGATTAAAGATGGTATTTATCGTGCTCGTGCATTAATTGAATAACATCTATCATATTAGGATTTTTTAAATAATAAAATTATACGGCGAGTTTACACACATACGAGTAAATAAATCGTACTGGAAATAAATGTATATTTGTACATACTTCTATTATTCTGATTCTATTTCTTTTTAATTTATTCTTTTGTTAAATAATCTTTGACTAGCGATAGAATAGGATACGTGTTAGCTATAAACATATACATACATTCACAATATGACATACATATATTCACAAAAAGACATATTTAAGCATGACAAATTGCTTAGCTTATAAAAATAACTAAAATAAAGAAAAATCGTTTTCTTTTAAAAACATTCTTCTCAAAATCAACCATCAGTGACATTATGAAAATCTTCGCATTTACAGTTTAATCAAAGAAAAATATGAAAATAAAACTAAACCAATACAAAATAACTCTTTCTTTAACCGAAATGAGAATTTCAACTAAAACTTTTTCCAAATTGTACAATGGAGTTGATTTGGAATTGGCATTTAACATAAAAAGAACAAAGACCATATGACTTTTTATATTCGAAAAGATATCTTTTTGTTGAATTGTATTATAAATTGTATAGAAAACCTTTTTCTATTAAAATAAAGGCTTTCTGAATACAACTGTCAAGAAATTATAAAGAGTGTTCTATACATGAAAAAAAATGTAACACTCTTGACGACACAGCCATTAAATATTAGGCAAGGAAAAGGATTCGTGTTTCTTGTTCGCGTCGACATTAGTCGCTAAAAGAATGTAGAAACCATGCACTATTAATCGCAAACAAAACCTGTATTAGCTATAAAGAGCTTTCGTCTAAACTACGCAGACTAATATCTCTACAATTAAATTCTGGAGCGCCGTAAGAGCGTTGTTTTGAATACCAGACAGCGACGAGGAAATCTTATTCGCACTTGAGAAAAATGGTGTGTTCGCATTGAAATACCTTTGACTTCAACCAGAAAAAACACGTTACAATCCGAATGGAAAATCCGTTGACGTGATTTAAACGTCTGTGTTATATAATAATAATACAAAATTACTTATTAATAATAAAAAAGAGATATCGTCACACAAATCTTGACGGTTTTTCCGGCAATTAAGTCAAGATATCTAAATGAGTAAGATTAATGAAGATGTATGATAAACTTGAATATCTTCACTAGTAGTAAAATAATATATTTGTCCATTAATAAAATAACGTATTCTAGCGCATAATTCTGTAACATAATATTGAAAAAAACTGAATTAATTAGCACTATAAGAGAGAAGAAAAAAAAGGAAATGGAAATGGAAAGAAAATAGAAAAATCTAATTACCAAACTCTCTTGCTATATCTCCGGTTGTTCATATATTAATGCTTTAACATAAGGGTTCAACGCTATAGTCGGCAAATAAACTAGCAAAGTGGTAGTATTTGTGGCTGACAAGAGCTTTCAAGAGTGGTGGACCCGGTTACAAGTGGGGACTGATGGGTGGCACTTATATAGCCTAGGTATCAGGAATCCACACCGATTGGTTGGTCGATGGTTGGTCTGACTGGGCCCGTTGGCGGGCCCATGCACAGACGTAAACCGATAGGTGAAGAACAACTCCCCAGATGGCTCACTACACGGATGATAATCCTTTCCTTCGGTACAGCACGGTTCTCTTCAGGCGCCTCGATGCAGTCAAACAGGTCTGAGAAATCGTACAGCTCCAGTCCTTTCTCGTCCATCGCCGTAGTCGCACCGCCACATGTGCGCATATGAGAGAGACAGAAAGAGAGAGGGGGAGGGAGAGAGAAAGAGACAGCGTGCTTCATAATAAGCAATCACGAGCAGCGAGGAAAAGAGGTGAAGGAAAAATTCGCAAAGAAATAGCGAGGCGAATAGAGAAAAGAAGGGGAAGAAGGAGAAAAAAGCGTAATAGAATTAAATAGATAAAATCGGACGAGGAGGTGCGTGAATTACGATCAATCAGTGTCATATTATCGATTTGACGATATTGAATTAAAGCGACGAGAAAATTATATCCGGTAGTGTTTAACAAGATTTAGAAGAACAAGATTTAGAAGAACAAGATTTAGAAGAAGCGATATTTTTAAGAAAACGGAAACAAGTTTCTCTCTTTCTCTATGAAAAAAAACTACTTTCCGAATTTCAATATTAAATAAGAAGAAGTGTGTATATAGTCCAAAATTTTCTAAAGAGAGAACAAACATTTCCTGAGAAATAATATAAGAGAAATGCAATGTGTAATGTATGATAGGACTCTATTACTCTTTGGCGGAAATAGATTCTTATTACTGGCTTAGTGAAACGTAAACGAAACAAATTGAACGAAAATTGACAACGTGGATATACAACTTACTTGAGGTAAGTCGTCTTATTTCACAAATTTTGACAATATTTATAGAAATATTTCGTATTAAGGATATTTGTTAGTATTTGTTAATTACTTTTGTTATTATGATTATTATGTAATTGATTATGTAATACTTTTTAATATATGCAAATCGATATATACATAGATATATATCGTTAAACGCACTATGAAATATTTCAATTTGCGAGCATTTAAAAGTCCTTGATAGATATTCTTATCGTAAGAGCATTAAGGTTTTCGCATTTTTTAATGCAAATTTATAACAATTTCGCCTTGTATAAGACGATTAGAACAGAATTTTTGATAATTATTTCTATTTTTGCAATGTATTTATTCATTTATTATTTTCATGATAAAGATTATGGAACTATTAATTAGTTAATAATTGGAAGAAGGAACAAATTAAATATTACAAAAATGGAAAATATATAGAACATAGTGTTTATGATTTTTATGTGATTTTTCTCTTTATTTATAAATATTATTTATAAATATTAGAAATTAATAAATGTTATAAAAAATATGTATTAATTGGCCATATATATATATATATATATATATATATATATATATATATATATGTTAAATGTATTTTTTAAAGACATTTTGAAGAAATTTGTTATTAATATTATTATCTTATATAAATGGCCAATTAATACATATTTTTTATAACATTTATTAATTTCTAATATTTATAAATAATATTTATAAATAAAGAGAAAAATCACATAAAAATCATAAACACTATGTTCTATGTATTTTCCATTTTTGTAATATTTAATTTGTTCCTTCTTCCAATATTATTATCTTGAAGAAAAAAATAGAAAAATAAAAATTAGAAATTGTAAAAAAATAAACCTATAATAATAATATAATAATTATAAAATTAGATATTAGAAATTATATATAAATGTGTCGTTATAAATTATATATAAGTAAGTCATTGACTATTGTCATCGTATGCATGCTGATATTTTTTGGTTCCAAGAAAATTTTTATGACTTTTAAGCTTTCTTGACCATCAGAGAAGAGGGGGCAGATGGCGGAGTTCTCTCTCCAACGTGCGATCTCACGTGCGGTTAGCCGTCATCAAATAAAAACATTATCGTTACCCTTCATCTCCTGTTGCTATAATATTTGCCTACTGGTAGTCGGTACAGTAATTCGGTAACACAAAGGGCCCAAGGATGGTGCTATGCCTCGCTACATACACTGATATGAGTGCGACAGAGACAGCCATTACAATTATTATACATAAGAACGTCGGCGAGGCTCTCCCATGTCAAAATATATTTATTGCTCTTCCCTTGCCCGCGCCCCATATCCTTGGCCCCTGGTACTCTTTTTCTTCACATCGACCGCGGTGTGTCGGCCACCTTTGTTACCCTTTCATACGGTTATTACCCACTTGTATACCCGGCAAACTCTATGCCCGCGAGAGGTCCGAGAAAAGAGAGAAAAAGAGAGATGTATCTCCTCTCTTTTTCGGCTCCGATCTTTTTCCCGTTCTTATTTTTCGCGCACCGATTCATCGCGCACGCACGTGCACGCGCATATTCCCGCAACGAGTTGCGTGTGCGCTCAAGGACGTATCTTTATTTCGATGGGCTAACCAAGAAGGTTAAAAAACAATATAAATTTTCACACGGAACGCATGAACGAATTTACAATTTGCAATTAAAATTAGTAAGTTGAAAATTGTAGGTTGAAATTTATTTAACTAAAAATTTATGATTTAATACATTTATAATTATGTGTTTCTCGACTATGACTTTTGATTAATTTGAATATTTTTCAATTTTGGATTTTTTTTAATGACAAAAATGTTAATCTTTTTTGAAAATATTCTGTAAATAATATAATAATTGACAAAATTTCTCTTCAAAAAATTTAAAAAAATTACATGTAAAAATATATACATTATTATTCCATATCGAATTATACGTATTCACATAATATTTTCTATATTTACATTACAAATACGTAATTGTTGAAGAATTTTTTCGCATCATCTCTGCTCTAGTGACATAGAAATATTAAATTTGCATGGTATCTTTAGTGCAACGGGCGACGCACAAACCTAAATCTTGTTTCGCATCTTATTTACATATTAACCCCTCCCGGTTCGTCATCTCGTCACGGGGTCGTGATCTGACTTAACGCCTTTTTGCTGCCACTACATTGCCACCCTTTACAACAGTCATGCGGGAAGTACCGAGAATCGTGACAAATACGCGTATTATCTTTTTTGTCCTATTTCGAATGGAGCCCAAGATCCTGACCTAACCGCGGAGGTAAGGCGTAAATGGAATACTCGATTAAAGATTCTGTGTCTTCAAATCCAACTCTCTCACGTAGTAGTCACGTCGTATTGATAAAAAAAGTCTTTTATATATGAATATATAAATTTCTTAACGTGTGCAAAATTAAATATAGTCTTTGCGCATAAAAAATTTTAAAATTGTTTTCTTTCTTACAGGTAAAGTTTATATAAGAAAAAATAATCGAATATCTTATTGTTAGAAAAAAAACATGCTAGGATATTTTCTTAGAATAGATAGCAAAATGCTACGGTCGAGCAAGACTTACATTAGTGAAACGTGCAAATGCGTGGAAATGTCTCTCTTGTTATCTTATCTAGATCATTTAAAAGGTGCGTTTAACGGTACGTACGCAAATTACCCATTACTTTTCTAATCTAAATCGATGCTCTTTGTTCACTCTGCGATAACATGAATTACACCGATCTACACTTGGTCCCGCTTCCGTTAAGATGAAGGCATCCTTATAAAAGCGATCGCGTTGAGTAGAGGATTGAATCGTCTTATCGCGTGAAACTCGTTGCAGAGGTGGCGAAAGATAATCACAAGTATGCATTCTTAAGTATAGTGTTTATATATCTTGAACGCGTGATGCAGTTGTTTAAAACTTATTAAATAAAAATATTTAATAATAAAATAAAATATAAATATATTTAAATAATACTAGAGGAAATCTGCTTATCATGCAAACAATCTGCGATAGAAATTTATATTTCTACACAATGTGTATTATATTATTTAAATTGTATATTTAACTAAGTTAACTAACTAAAGGTAACTAAATTAATCCGAGAACTTTCAAAACTTTTTCAACAAGATCACATATAACATTTTAAGTCGCTTTCGTAGAAATCGTATTTAAATCGCGACTTACGCGCGGCTACATAATTGAGTACACAAATATACATACATATATAAATAAATATACACACACGCGTGAAAATCTCCCCGGTGCTCTTTCAGTTTGCGATTGCAGGCGTCGTTACAGGACCGTGCCTTCGGCCTTTTATGAGATTATAAATCAATGATGGCGCGCTTAATCGCCAAATAAAGGGAGATTAAATTGCGCCGGCGAGGCATACCGGTCTCGTGTGTCTTGAAGTATAAGCGGAAGACAGATATAAAACCCGAAGCTTTTATTCGAAGGGACCCATCATTATAATACGCGGTTATTTAACGAGTTCCGTCTCCATAGTTGTTCATTTCCTTCACTTTGTAAAAAATTATATATATTATAAAATTATATATATTTCCTCTCTCTCTTATCCTTATGACTGCTCTATGATTATTTAATAAATGTATTAATCGAGTAAATACACTTAATTATTTTAATGCAATTTCTTATTTTTTGAATAACTTATATATTTGTTATAGTATCATGATGTACATATTTCTTTCATTCAGACATTCCGTTACTACGTGACACGTCATTGGTTGCTATGAAATTTCTGTATAAATAAATTATCACATACATGATGATTTAAACGGTGCACAATCTCATTGAGAAAAATATCCGGTGAAAAGGTAACGAACGGATATTATCCGATTATTAACCGATCACTTTAATCGGAAAAAAAAGAAACCGATCAGATATCCAATCAGAAAATATCGATCGATCGGATATCTGATCAGAAAGTTCAAAATTCGGAACTTTCCGATCAGATATCCGATTAAAGTGATCGGTATAATATCCGTTCGTTACCTTTTCATCGGACATTTTTCTCAGTGCTCGCAATCACACAAAGTACATTGTTTAGTAGATCGCAAAGCAAATGCAAATCACTGCTTCATTCCAATTTGTCCCATCGCAAGAAAATCTTAAAACATATTCTTTTTTAAAATACTTTAATTCACTATCTATTTTCCTTTTTTTATTTATTTTTTTTCGATTCATTCGATTTCGATTTCCTTCTTCCGCCACCACTCACATTACTTTTTCATTTTACTCAATTTAATTTCTCTCTTTCTTTTCTTCAAGAATAAAAATTATTATTAATTTCTTATTTTAAGCATAATAAAATGTGTAAATTCTTGATAGGTTAAATATCTATTCTTATAATTTATGAAAATATATTTATCAATGTAAATCTTTACACATATTTTTTACAAATTTTTTCCGCCCAATACAATACGAAATTCAAAGTAAATTGATAATGCAGCGACTATTTTTCCTGCTAAATCGACCAGTGATTTTTTTCATCGAATTCTTAATAATGTTAACGTTTGACACTTCAGAACATGTCATTCATATCCATGGAGGCAGCTGAACTCTCGTCTAAAGTGCTGCACATATGCATTCACATTCATACACGAAGACATAACGCGGGCATAACGAATCATAGTACTTCCGAGAAGAGCACCCATCACGATTCCCACAAGTGTGAGAGGGTCGTGCGCGACCGTTCTCGATTGACTCTTGAGTGGCGGACGCAGAATCGCTGTTAAAAATCGGATCGGTCACGGTTCGAGGAGACAGACAATGTCGTCGTCTAGGACGTGGTTACCTGCGTCATGGCGTTTATGCGTTTCGTGCGCTGGTAGGACGTGCTCGCTCGTTTCTCTAACGTGAGGCTAAACTGTCGCGATAAATGATCCTCCGGAAGGTTATTAATTGTCTTTGGCTCCCGGCCGGGCGCATTGTAGATCGCGAAAACATTAACCGAAAAGAAATTCTGCTTTCTACCTTGCCATATGCTCGCGGATGATATATACTGAGTGTGATGAGAAATCGTGCACTATCTAAGAGATCTTAGAAAAGGCTGGAAACGAGCTTTTGATAAAAATGTTTCGTACCAAATTATTTTTTCTATTTTTTTTTTAATCAAATATCTCTCAATCGAATTAAATGTTAAATCAAATAAAGTTTTATTGGAATTTATTTACTAAATTAATTTTTTTATTGGCTCCTAAAGTTTAATTCGACAAAAATATTTAATTTGTTTTTAACTCAGAATTGTTCGTATTCTAATATTAATAATCATTATCTTTTTTAATTTTGCATATCTATTTTAAACGTATAGAATTACATTATTTATTTTATATACACCCTGTATACTGGCATACATCTATATACTCCCGCTAAGATATGTGTGCGCGCCGATGCACAGGATCATTTTTCAAGGATTCGATCGATGTGTCCGTGAATGAGCCACCATCATCCATCAAACTGATCGTTAAAAACGCATCGATGCCAATACAAATTGCACCAGCCGCATGTTACATTCCTGCTTTCTGGGCCTTTTCCGGGATTCTTTCGTGGATCAACGATTTCGTAATTTCTAATCTTTATTTTCTTTATCTTGATCGCATTTACTAAATAATACATGCGAGACGCAAATAAAGGGATACATCTTCGTAGCAAAAAAATTATATTATCTTTTTAATATTTATCGCGAATGATGATGATTAATCTTATTTATGATATTAAACAAAATTTATATTCCATATAAAATTAACACGCAAACAAAAATTTAAAATATTTTTCCAAGTTATGTTAAAAAGTTATGTTAGAAAGTTATGTTAGTCCAAGTTATGTTAAAAAAGAGAATTCAATGATTTTTCAATAAAATTAAATTGATGTGAATTATGCGAACATATTTCATAGATAGATTATAAGGCTACTTTTACAAAACTTGAAAAAATTATCGTTTAAGAAATTTTTAATTACTGTTATCACATAAATTGAAAATCAGCAATGTGTTCAGTGAGAGAAGCAGTTCTCAGCCAAAGTTTCTCACCATCATTCGCACTTCGCGTACATAAGATTTCTATGCTTCGCGTTCGCGCGTGCAAAATCCTGTTTACTTTATGTAATCCGGTAATAGTCGATTATATACGGCGTATGCATTTATTTGCGCGTAATCCTTTCGCGCATAATTAAGCACCGATAACATCGAGACGAGGAACTTTCGTGCACAAACGTCCGCGCGCGCGCGCGTTCAAACGCGTATCTCGGGTGATATATCGACTCCTTCTTTCGCGAGTAGATTCATTGACTCATTAACGCACTGAGAAAAATCACCGGCTGTATATCACGGCCCGGACAGTAATCAAGTGCTCATTCTTAACGCGGTGTGTAATAAATATGTGAATTAATACACCGTCGATTAATTATATCGCGCAAACCGCGTTTCTAACGTGTACTCTCGTTGCCGGGAAGAATTATAACGAGGAACGGGTCTATGAACATTGCGGAAAAATGATTAACCCTGTTTGCGCATTGCGCCTCATAAAACGAAATTTCTTATAACGGTCCATCTCCGTAGAATTGAAAATTAGCACCTTCAAACATAAACGATCTCCGTATATTATCTTCGCGGGGGCGAATATATATATTCATTATTCAATATATATATTCAAAGTCTCAAAAGTTTTTTTAAATGATAAAAAAAGCTTCTCTAAATCATAAATAGATACTAGAAATTGAATATGAAGAAAAGCATGTACTATTGTTTCAATGATGACACTATGTAAATGATGATGTCACTAATCTTCTTTAATCTTATATCATTTTATCAAATGAATTCTTCTTCCTCCGGCAATTATTCGAGATGCAATCGAGATGCTTTCGTAATCTTTTCCTCTCATTCTTCTTGGATCGTATGCGCTTCGTGCTCATAAACTCATATGAATCACACGTACTTTTTATTATTGATTATATATATTGCTGCCTAATACTCTCCTAATGCAAAAACTTTTTAAATAACGTACATTAGAATTCAAGAAAAAAATTTTAAGAAAATTATTTGTCATATTGTGTTAATATAAAACACATTACGTAATAATTATTCATTTATTTCTTTTATTTTTTTCACTTCATTTATTTTGTCTTTAGAGAAATTAAAAAATTTTTAGAATTGTTTTGAATTTTATATATCAATGTATTGCATTAAGTTAAATTATATACATAAATTGATTTAGAATTAGATGTAAAAATTTATTTTAAAAATCAGATGTATGTTATATAACTATATTTATCACATTCTTTCTTTAACGAAAGTGTACAAATATTTTTGTTCGTTTTTGCCATCAAATAACATGCATAAAACAGAGAAAGAATTCCATCGTCGATTACGAAGATGGCGATCGAGCAACGAGTGCGAAGTCGGCAAGGGTTGAAACAACGATAGCGAGGGGTAAAGACGACAAAAGAAGCGCTGTCGGCTTTCAGGTTGAATAGGGAAAAAGGCCTCATAAGGGGATAAACGTCACAAGGGACTTGTGTTTAATGGCGCGTAAACTGCTACGTGCCCCCGTACGCAGGTATACGGGTCGCCAGACGTGCACGCACACAGATTGCTGCGATGACATGAAGCAGAATCCGAAAGGGTTCTGACTTCTGTGACCTTTTGATCTCGTTGTCATTCTCATCATCGTCATCGTCGTTGTCGTCGTCGTTGTTGCAGTTGAAATCTCGTAAGCTGATATTTAGAGCAGAGATACTGCGAGTCGATCGACTTCATTAACGCGCCGATGTCAAATATTGACTCTCCATAGAAACTAGGGTACGAGGTATCGTGTATTTACACTGTGTGTCTACACGTGGGACTTTTCCCTCGTGACCCTCCTTTTCTTTTTCTGATTCTTCTCTCATTTCATCTGTTCAGTCGTGTAGTGTATGGCGCTTTAAACTATGATTTCGAAGTCATTGACATCGATAACCAAATTGGAAGACGTCGTACGTAATATCTTCCTGCGACGACTGTTGCATGCTTGCATTAAAGATACGCACTCCGATATCGTACGAATTTGTATGCAAGACGATTTTCCAGCAGATATTTCGAAGTCGGCGCAATGTCGCGTGCAAGGATCGATTCGTCGCGACGATAAATCAACCTTGGCCCACATTGACGTGTGGATACCCTCGATAATAGTTGCACCACGATCTTTTTGTAAAATAGACTCGGCCGCGTAAATGGTACAGTTTACCAGTTACAGCCGACATGTTCGCCGCAAAGACTTGACTTGTATGCTCTCTGTGATTTATTGCAAATGTGCGCCGCTCCTTGGAGGTTTCCCTCGGTTATTAGAGCGATGGAATTTTTTGCGCCGCGCACACGATTGCTCCACCTCGGACGCTCACATCTCGACCTTAACTCTCGCGTCTCAACCTTTCGCGCTTATTGTTTTCTTCATTTCGCGATTTATCTCGAGCCGTAGCTGCGTCTGCCCGTTCAAGAGCACGCGCGATCCGTTATACGTATATACTCTGCCGCTTTATTTGGTTTTGTATTAGATCTCCTTGCCCGAACTCTTAGACTCACTTAGAACGACCGAGTTTCGGACTCAGATGTGTTAGAAATACTAGAAAAAGTCTCTTTCTCGACCGAGATCCGTATTGACATTGAATGTTTCGAGAATTCGTAACACATATTATAGGAATGTGTATACGTAAATATATGTGTAACGTTAGAAATTATAAATTTAATTATAAGCAATAATATAATGTGCAATAAATTTTATATTAAAGCAAAGAAAAAATATGAGCATATTATAATCTTTATATTATATCTTTGGAATATATCAGAATAAACTATTATACTATACTATAAACTACTACTATTCTATAAACACTTGAATCAAAGTTGAGTATTTTTTTTTATTTTTTTTTTACAGAACCGTATTTGGCAACGAAATTGATGCAGAGACGCACGTTAAAATCACTAATTCACGAGTGTCGCGAATAAGAACTGCAAAATGCCGAAAGAAAAAAAGGTAGGAATGAGGAAGCAGGAAAAGGTTTCACTTCATTAATGAAGCGCATAACGAATGGAAGAGGAGAATTAGCGGGTGTTAAGCAACTACGTCGCGAAAAAACTTGAAAATCTTAACGAACTCGACTCTTTTTCATCTCTTTTTCCTCGAGTTTGTTCTCGTTTCGTTTTATCGTCTATCTTTGTTGGCAATCTATTTTCTTTCCTCAGAAGCGCAATTATAAAGAGTCGACGCAACACGTGCGTACGGAAGATTATGTCGTATCGGAGCACTAATTACCGTCACTCTAGATTCTCGTTAAAATACCCTTCTCTCCATTTTATAAAAAAGAATATCCTTTCGAGCAATTTTATCTTCCAAACTGGCACACCGGCTATCTCTTTCTTTTCTCAATCACGGTTATATTTTTAAACCAACGAATCCTCCGCAGGAGGTCTTCAGTGCCGAGTCGCGGAGAACGAATACAGTTAATTTTTTGTGCACATTCTTATATAATGTATCACCAGACTTGTCATAATATAGCGTCATTTACAAGAGATACGAACTGATTGCCAGAAACGTTTGCATTCCACGAATACTAATTTAAATAACTCTTTTTTTTCCTCGTCTCTCTCTCTCTTCTTTTTTCTCAATAATCATTTTGCTATAAATCTGAATTTTTATACTTACTATTTAAAAAAAGATACATCGTGATTTTGATTAGTCATTTTATTACAACTACATCAAAACCAATTTTTTCACCGTTACAAGGAGAATACTATTTTACAAAATTACAAATTCATAAATTTCGAAAGCTGATTCCTCTCATCGTATCAATTTTAGATCGAAAACTTTTATATCGCATCGTTAACGATCGAAAAACTCGCATGACGAGAAACATCGATAACTTCCTTATCATCAATATATATATATATATATATATATATATATATATATATATATATGGTCTAATTTTATTATTTCAATTTATTCGAAAAATAGGTTTCTCGCTCCGATACTAAGTCGAGGCAGATGGCACCGTTTGCCGAGATAGCGCTGATTTATAATAGGCCGGTGGGTTAAAACGGGTTTTGATTCGAACATTACGACAGGATGGGGAAACAGATTCAGGAAAGAAAAGAACCTAATGATTCTTCGGATATCCATTTCGTGCCCATGGGCAAAGATCTGATCGTTCTGTGTTCAAAAACTTCGTATCCAAAAAGAATATACACAAAAACACTCTCCATAATCGCGATATTACATTAATAAATTTCGAACATTATATAAATTTTTTTATTCAAATATATTTCATAAAAAAAAGAAAGCAATTGAAAGCGAGAGACATTCCCGAAAAATCTTTATTGCGTTCTATCTATTCTATTAGCGTATAATCAAAGTTCTGCCATATTTCCTATTAATTACTCTAAATCTTATTTAAACACATCCGTAAGTTATTGTGGGAGGAATAAAAATCGACACGAACGTAGAGAAAACCGGTTCGCCGCCCCACCATTCGACACCAATCGCGCTTTATTCTTCCAAGGATGAACCGAAGCAACTGACTCTGACACATATCTCTCCTTTGAATAATTTTTACAATTTCTATAATTGCAGATGAACCATAAGTGCTACGTATGTAACGAGCCTGCAGCTGGTTTTCATTTTGGAGCGTTTACATGCGAGGGCTGCAAGGTAAGAGACGAACTATCAATAATACGATTACGATAATAAAATCCGGATTAGATGTTATGGATACTTTGTGACATGACGCTGACAATTCGTACGTCTCGTCACACACTCTATTTGTGTTGCGCGTTACATAACATTTGTGATGTAAATTCTATAGACTTATGAAAAGCGACGCAAATGTAATTACGAAGACGCACAGTTTCGCCGTTTATAAATCGTGAATAAGTCTGTATTTATTTTGCGGAAATATAAAAACTTCGCAGTTACATGATTAGAGAAAACCAATATAAAATTAAATGAATAATGAAAAGATAAAAATGATAAAGATGTAATTTTTTTTTTAAAGGAAGCTTGTAAATATAACAAATACCGAAAGAAATTTTTTGCTTCTCAAGCGATTGTTCTAAAACATTAAACTACTTTACGTATTTTTATTACTTTTTCATTTACTTATAATAATAATTTGTTGATGCACAGATGTAAATACAATAAAAATGATTTAAAAAAAAGATACATGCAAAAAATGAAATGATGGCAATAATGCTGCTATAATGCAGAAAAATATCGCGTATACATAACACGCTGTTTTATATAAATTTACTAGTATTGCAATTCAAAATTCATTTTCTATAAACATGTAATAAAAATTAAATATTTCATGTATATCATATATCATATCATAAGTCATTCATATATCATAATTAATAAGATTCGAAAATTACATATTCTCTTTACTAGTATTTTGTTAATTTATCATATAAGAGAAGGAAAAAAAATTTGTATATATATTATATAAAATTCAAAAAGAAAGAGAGATGTTGTCTTCTAGTAAAATCACAATTTTATAGTGAAAAGCAAGACAAAATAAGGCAATGATTTATCAGCAAATTAGCGTTGGGAAAAAATGTTTGGCAAAAAATGAACGGAAGTAGTTTCTACCCGATATTAACCTGCTGCGAGGATTTCGCAAAATCGTAAATGTCGATACGCCGGCGATGAGTCGACGTATGTGATGCGTGCACGCGTTTCGCACTCTAGTTTAAAGAAGAAGCAATTTAATAAGCCGTGACAAATGCGAAAACGAAAAGGCTCCGATGGTAGGGATCCTCTGTCGTAGTAATCACGGTCGTCGAAAGAGGTGAGAAAGTCTGATATGTGGAAAAGGTAAGCGGGCACGAGAGGGAAGCGAGAAAAAAAGAAAAATCCCCTGCCCGGCTCGAATCCATAAGTGGACGAGAGACTCGAGCGCGACCAATCGATTATTTCAGATCGTCCTCGTTCGACGATGCCCAGGCTGTGGCAAATTACAACGAATATCCTGAAAATAACGATATATCGATAGAATGATAATATTGCCTGAAAATATTAAGGCCGTTGTATTTTAGCTGGAACCGTAAATTAAAACATTAAATTTCTATTTTGTTCTATTATTTCAAAGCAACGATGCGCGCGATGTGCAAACTTGAAGATTTTATAATCAACAAACAAATTGTTGAAACAAATTCTCCAGAGGAGGAATGAATGAATCTGTTTCTTGGAAGAAATATGGAATACGCGGGAAATAACGAGGAAAAGCGAGGACATTGTGTCAATCGCGGTTCGCTCTCGTGATTAGTCACGTGGAGCGTTACAGTCGCGAATAACATTCAACAGGTGGATTTAACAGGTGGCATTCAACAGGTGGATTCCGGCGCACATGCGCAACCATCTGTTGAATCTATGCATACGCCTATAGTATGCAAGCGCGCATATATATATATGTATCGACAAACTATGGGACGACAATAATCGGGTCTCGTTAAACCACGCTTAGATCTCCGAGAGATGTTGACCCTTGCTCTCGTCCTCTCATTTCACTAATGCGCGTTACACCGTGGAATATCGATACCGCGTACTCTAAGTGACCCATCCGATAATAATTGAAGCTCATTAAGACAATAACGGGCAATAATGGGTCTGTGGTTCTTATCGCGTTCAATTTCCCGAAGAGACGGAGTAACAGATAATGCTTTAAGTCAATTAGACTTTTCTCTCGTAAACTAGGATGAACCGGGAACCTTTAAGAAAGAGAATATGTCGCCGTGTCTGGATAACAAGAAGCGCATTCTAATCGAATTCAAAAGATCCATCCGATCTTTTTATAAAATTACTAACTATCGGAATTAAACAAATTAATTTGTCCCACCCATCATAAAAAACTTTTATTAACACACAAGATTAATCATGAACCTTTGGATAAAATTCTGTACAATTCTATTTTTTTATCGCATTTTAATCGAATTCAAAAGATCCATCTTTTTATAAAATTACTAAATATCGGAATTAAACAAATTAATTTGTTCCATCCACAGCAAAAAACTTTTATTAACACAAAATTAATCATGAACCTTTGGATAAAATTTTGTACAATTCTTTTTTTTATCGCGAAATTATGCTTTTTAACACGTTATCGATATAATTGTTATCACTCGCGCGTAAGTGAAATTTATCGATTTCACGCCTCGCGCCTTTTAATTAATGAACACGGATGACTGATTTAATAGTACGAAATACGATACCGGCCGGAAAATTAATATCGCCATCGTGTATCGTATACGTTACGTCGTGTAGTTATACAACTATATACCAGCGGGAAGGATCGCCGCTCTCACGAGGTTTCGATGTTATCGCGAGATATATAATAGTGTCATCGAAACCCCCTGATATCAAGAGGGCAAGTGAGGGAGAGGGGGCACAAAAGTATAGCGGCGAGAATTAGAGGCGCTCGCTTAGGCGACCAATTCTTCACGCACACGCATGCACAACGACACGGGGCGAGCACCGCGGGTGCATACTGAGTTCCATGATCTCTAACCTCGGAGCCGATCTACCTTCTCCTCGATGGGCATTTGGAAATATTTGAAATAATTTAGCGGCCGTGCACACACGGCGGCCACGGACGAAGAAACGAGGAACACTCATTAGCATACTAACGACTGTCCCTCGAATTCTCCGCGTAACATCGAGAGGGGGACGCGAGTTCTCCCGCTCTCTCCTCTCTCTTCTACCTTCCTCGCGTGCGACGGCGACAACCGTGGCCCCTTTTGCTCCACGCTCCGGATTTTTTCCTCTCTTCCATTTTTGGTACCGCGAGGAGCACGCGCGCGAACGTTCGCAAACATACGAAAGACTGAAAATATGACGTTACCTTGAACGCGGGCAGGAGCGGATCGATCATCACGCGCGATAGTTCTTTGCAATCATAAAAATAACAAAATCTACCGATAACGTCACGTATAGAATAAATCTCAATAAAATTAAAAGAAATTACAATAATTTGTAATTAATAAAATAAATCTAAACGTCAATAGCTTTAGTTTTTACTTTCTAAGAAATGAAAGTGACGCAGGTAATTACGCCATAATCGAGAGAACTCGATGCGTCCCTGTTTCGTGAACTGTCTTGGTTTCTTGGATAGCGTCCGAATTCCACATTTGTCGTCCGGAACGCGTTCAAATAAAGGAGAGCCAGGTCGTTCGAAGGCCGAAGTGTAAAGCAGAGCCGAAGGCAGGATCGCCAAAAGATGGTGACGCGTCACACATGATGAATATTAACGCGAGCGACCTGGCTCGGCCTTTTCTTCCTTCGTCTCTTCTCTCATCTCGTTCCGCTTCAGGTAACTTCGGTGCACTAATTTGCAGAAGTTCGCTCTCTTGTTAAGAGGAACACGCGGAAGACCTAGATTCGGGTCAGGCGTCGCGTTTATTTATGATGCAAATGCCATTGTTTTTCGGGGCCTCAACGGTCTGCACATTATGCGCGGCCGACATTGCAAAAATTTTTCAACGCTTCTTGCCACTCTCTTGCCCTCCACCTTTCTCTTCCTGACCGAAGAAGAAGCGTGTGATTCAGAGAACGCGATTATTCATCGTTCAACAATGAGGACTCGTCCAAAAAGTTGAAACCATGATAACCGATCCAGGACAGAATCGGCATAAATACGTACTCGACAAGGATTGCTTTCTACTCATCGGAATCATCGCGTCGACTACGACTGACTTTTTATGCCGCGCTTCCGGCGACGACAAGGATTTGAAAAAACACTTAGCGAGCAACAATGATTTCCGGCGAACGATACATGTTCAAGCAGGTAGAGGCTGAAACATTTCAAGGAGTCAACGATACACATAGGGTGCATAGAAATTATCCTTTGAATATTTAACTACTCGTCATGGCAAATTGTAATATTTATTTAAATATAACAAAATGACTATATACTTTAATTTTTGTTAGATCAATAAAATATTTTTATGAAATAATATAACAAAAACGTTAAAGATAAAATAAAATATCTAAAATATTAAAAGGACGTAGAAAGTAAATGAGAGAAATATCTTGCACGTTATTAAAAAATTAAAACGTAAATAAATGACCAGCGATTAAACGTGCACTTAAGGAAAATTAAGAAGCATGTTCGAAGTGATATAACGAACATGATGACGACGTGTGTATATACAAGCGAAACGAAAGTAGCATCTGCGTCGAAGAAGATAACACTTTGAAACGTGATAAAAATTGTCGGGTCACTCAATTTCCTCGAGCACCGGCGATTTCTCGATCGCGGTAGATTGTCAAAGTCTCGTCACGAATGACAAATTAAGCGATTAATTTAGCTTTTCTTTTTTCATGCTAATCGTCAGTCCGTTTTCATGTGAAATATATATATCTCAATGCTATTTTGACATATCACCGGATAGAAATTTGGATCTCGTGTGTCAACATCGAGAATTGTAACATATTTTATCGCTGAATTTTCTCCAATCATTTTGTTTCTAGAATTGCGGCGACTCGTATAAAATTGCAAAACAGTGCAAAAATCGTGTAATAAAATAATAATGCTATTGCAATAATCGACGAATATATATGTACAGAGTATATGTTGATTATTAGAATTTAAAGTAAAACGTTGAAATTGCGTCTATATCTTTCAGATTGAGTAAAAAATCATAGAGAAAGCTTATCAA